CGCTACAACACCTGCCTAAGCTTCTGAATTACAGAAAAAGAAAAGGTTAGCCGATCAATTCTTTGGGACAACCTCATCAGCAACCAGACCCTCAACAGCAGCTTCGGTGCCCTCCTCCATCTCCACATCTACACTGGCCTCGGCAACTGCGGAGACAGCGGTGTCGGCCAAGGCGTCGTTGTCGGACCAATCCGACTCACCGATGGAGGAGCTGGGTATCGGAGCCTGCCTCTCAGAAGGGGGGAGCTTCGCTTCGGCCTCAAGGTCCTTCATGTTCTTGGGAAGCTTCAGATGCTTCCTGGCCCATTTCCGGGTAACCTTCAGCTTTTTGAAAGCGTGGCACAGTCTCCGGTAGAGTAGCCGTTGCATCCTCTGCTGGCCCATGTCGTAGTACACCGACATTTCCCTCTCAAAATACTCCTGGCCGGCAGGAGAGTTCTCACCCAAGCCTCGAGCTTGGCCGCCACAACTTCATAGCACCAGGGCAGGCGTTCCTCGGCCTTCCATCCCTCGGCCAAGAACTTCTCAATGGCAACATCGGCAGCCTTTTCCGTAGCAGCCTCGGCCTCAGCCTTGGCTTTCTCGATCTCAACCTTGGCTCTCTCGGCCTCCTCACGCGTCGCCTTCTCCTCGGCAAGCTTGGCCAGGGCATCATCCCTAGCAGCAGCTACTTGGCGGTAGGCCGCGTTGGCCTCACCAGCTCTCCTTTGCAGGTCCGCCACATCAGCTCGCAACCGATCTAGGCAACTCATGGCCTCCACGGCCGAGGCAGCTTTCTGCTCGACCTCTCTTAGCCGAGCAATCTCCTGCTGCTGCCTTTTGTTGCTCTCCATCAACATGAAGGCACCCTGAAAAACACAAAATGGTTAGACGACGACGACAGATACAGTGAAACACAAGAAGACAAAGATGCGCGAAAGCAACTCACTTGGACGACAAGGTCCATCCCACCATCGTAAATCTTGACGTCACCAAGTTTGTCAAGATAAACCCGGTCCTCGACCGGGAGAGCTTGGGAGACGCCTCCCTTCACAGGATACTCCACCTCCAATCTGTACGTCCCCGTGACCAACTCCTTGCCAGGACGCTTCTTCCGGGGTTCCTTGACCAGGGGGAGGGGCTGAGAAACGTCAACAAAAGAAGGACCAGAAGTAAGGTCCACTATGGCAGCAGCGGTAGCAGAGCCTCCTTCGTCCTCAACAGGGACATTCATCCGCCCAGTAGCGGAGTCGGCAACATCCTTCTTCGTTTTTTTGGACGGTTGCATACCGGCCTCAGTGAGTTTCTTCTGGACGTCATCCACCGGCCGTTTCTTCTTCGGCTGGGTAGGTGGCTTCTTCGGCACATCGGCAGGTTGGGTCCCCTTGGCCGCAACACGTTTTGCAGCCTCCTTGGCTGCCAGCTCCTCGACCGCTTTCGCCTTGGCCCTACTCATGACGGATCTGCGGTCTATCACCAAGTCTGCACAACAAAAAAAAACCAAAGTTAGCAAAGGAAACAAACCGGGAACAAGGGCGCTTGGGAAGGCATTACTATCAACTTCGGCGGGCAAGCCCAAATCCGGACCATCGGCCTCCTCATAGGTGGTGGTCATCTTCGACCATAACTCAACATCCTCCTCCTTGTCACCATGGACGAAGTACCTGAAGAAGACGAGGGTGGTCATCTTATACTCCGTAATGTAATATTTTATGCTCCTCGGCACCCTTCCAAAAATGCAACCACTTGAGCGTCCAAGATAGTACTCCTCGGCACATCATGGAGGGTGAATCTACCACTGTGGCCGACGGAAGGAAACTCAGTGCCTTTCTCACCCAACGACACAAAAAGGAACTTGCTTTTCCAACCATGGATAGACGAGGGAAGGTCAGTAAAGCTCCTCTTCTTCGGCAGCTATTGAAGGTTGGCGTAGCCGGCACAATTCTGGTGGCTGCCTCGGCCTATCTGGTATAGGTTCATGAACAGAGCCGTCGTCGGCTTGTAGTTCAACTTAGCGCAGCGAAGGAGAAACCCGACGATCAGGGAATAACTGTTCGGGGACAACAAGGACGGGGGAAGCCCCACCATATCCAAGTACTACGTGAAGCGGGAAGCGAAGTCCTTTCGCAAAGCTCATTGGGTGCACCCCAAAATACCCCGGTGGAGGATTAAGAACGTGGTCCGTCGGCCTAGGATCCTTAACCCTACCAAAAGGCCTTACGTACATCTGGGCAACTAAGTAGTCAGCCGCACCACTCTGCGGCTTGATGAGGTAGATAGGAGAAACCTGGACCTTTCTTCGGTCGGCGCCTCCTCTTTGGGGCGGCTCCCTTGACGGCAGAAACCGGTTTCGGGCAAGGAATGGCGGTCGAAATAGATGCACCGTCCATGGCGCGGGAGATGCCTACGTCTTCCCCTCAGACGAGGTGGCCTCCTCGCCCGCACCTTCATCATCCACTTGCTCCCCCGTATTCAAAGGACTCAAGTCCTCAATTTCCACACAACACTCCTCCACCACCCGGTAGTCAAAGGACTTAACAGAGGCCTCATCATCGTAAGGGTAGTACTCTTCGTCTAAGGTCTTCATTGTAACAGATATCACAATTCTAAGGGGGACTACTTCAGATCTGAGGTGTTCTCGTGACTAACACTAGATCAAGGTCTAAAAGAAGCAAAATATGCAAGGAAGTGGAGCAAAGTTCGATGAACTGACCTTTGAAGCTTTGAAGAATGGAAGAACACACGAACAAGTCTCTCTCTAGAAAATTTGGCAGCACTTCATTATCTCAAGAATGCAACGGGGAGCCTCTTCGGAGGGAGGGGGGTATTTATAGACCTCCCCCTCCAACGGTCACTACACGTGGCACACACTCGTTGGCCACATGAACGGCCACTAACCCCAGGGCCCATTGGGAGGGCACCAATTCAAAAGACGGGTCAGGCCCACTTCCATCAGTACCAACCCATCACCAACGTGCCAGTAATCAGCGTCCGTGACGGCCAACCATTCAACGGCAACACTAAGAAAGCACACCTACATCGGCCCCAACGACCAACAGTAATCTCAAAAGGGTAGGTCACCACAGTGTGCCCATATCGGCCCAAGCAGAATACCAATAGCATGGCCCTTTCAACGGCCACAACAGCAAAGCAAAAAGCATCCCCACAGCCATCGGCCTTGTATAAAACTCTGATGATAATTTCTTGAAAGCGACCTGCATCCAAGGGTTCTCCCACAGGGTTACCTTGGTCAGGAAATCGCTAAGGGATTGGATTCAGGGGAATACAAGAATCTCGCTTCGGCCTAGGGGTATCCTTTACTCCTTCACCTCTCGCTCACTCTTCGGCCTGAAGCAGTGGGGGACTGGGGGACTACACCGGCCTCTGGAAATCAAGAGGACAAAATCAAAGAAATCCTAAAATATACCAAGTCCACAACTACAACATCAGATCATATATGCACCACATCGTCCATGACCTTGTAGTGCACCATCGGCCGCAGCAAAATAGGCAAACAGAATTCCCTCCAAGGATACAACACCTGAGATCACAGGCCACTCAACGGATTTGAGACCACATACTCCACTCTCGGCCAGGAATTAAAACAGGAACTCAACGTCCTCAGATCACCCTCATCCATGAGGCCAGGATACACACCACTCCTTCCGGATCAGTGCCACTATCGTCCTCAAAAACATGGACACCAAGATACGGATACCACCGCTCCTCGGCCAAAAGCACAGAATGCAACCAACGACGGCCAAAGAAAGCAAACAGCACCCTCACCGGCCACCCGGAAACAAAAGGACACCCATCGTCCTCAAACAAGAGGTAAACACAGTGGCCTCCTCGGCCCAAAGCACGAAATTCAACCACCAGCGGTCAGGAATAAAGAAGCACCATCTTCATCGGCCACTCATGGCAGAGGACGCTCATCGTCTCCACCAAGCAAAGGCACTCCTCGTCCTTAAACCGGAAACACGCATAATCCGCATGACTAGGGCCCTCTTCGTCTACAGCAAAGGACACACAACGGCCAGAACGTAGAGTGCCCGTAACGACGAAAAACAAAGAACCAGAGCAAAGGGTGCCAATAACGACCAGAAAACGTCAACGCCAGGGACTCTACTCTCCTTCACTTCCTCTACATCTCAGCTCAGAGAGTCGGGGACTCCTGATGGAGTATATGGGCCTCGACCTCAGGACCCACATACTCAGAAGGACAGAAGGCACCACGGTCACCTAGTGGGACCCCCGTCGGCCGGATGACCCTCATCGGCCATAAAGAAGTCTACTCAGAATGTGATCCAGAAGCCAGGAGAAACGGGTGACCTCGTCGGCCATGCCCTCATCGGCCATGCCCTCATCAGCCATAGATAGCCTCTAGAACAGGATTTTATACTTAATCATTTCTGTACACTTTGTATTCGGCCCACTAAAGGCCCTGTTGTAAATGGGCCTCCCAAGCCCAAGACTTGGGAGCCCAGCCCTAATTTTCTCTATAAATACTCCCTTTGGGAGTAGTTGTAGGGGTTGACAAATCATTAACACAAGGCATTTACTGCACTTCTCTCTCTAGCTCTCACTTCTCTCTAGATATATAATCTATCATTGTGAATTATATTTGATAGTAATTGTGCATTGTAAAACATTAAGAAGTGTAAAAAAATGGACATTTATTTTTACCAACGAATGAAGAATGTTAAGTGGGCATTGCGTGTATTTAAACATTAAAGTGTGCACAACATTACACGATTAGGTGTTGGGTTGAACAAGTATTCTGATGAAGTGCAATTTTGCGAGGAAAATTGGTGCATGATTTTACATACATATGTGCAAGAAAAAAATACCAATTCTATGAGTAATGACACATGGGTCGGTGATTGTTATTGTTCAATGGTAAACAATGCAACGGTATAGGTTGTTGTGAACTTTTGAAAATTAAAATGTGCGAAAATAAAGATGAAAATTTAATGACTATCAAAACAATAGTACAATTGTAATCCTTAAATATAATCACTAAAAATAACTAAGAAAACTAAACAAAGTCAACCAAAACAAGTCATGTATAACCATGAACTTATAGAAAAAAAATCATAAAGCAACAATAGGTAAGTAGCAAATTTCAAGATGATTTATTCATGGGGCAGTTACGACTATCATGGTGACACATCTCGTTACATGTTCTGCACAACCTTAACTTCTTCTTTGATTGTATTGCAACTTCTTTACCACCTTTAAAACGCTTGCCACAACCCTTGTTCCTAGCTTGTTGTGGCGGAAGTACAGTCACCTCTGACGGAGCTGCTGATCCACAAAATTGCTCAATTACGGAAGTTTTGGTGGTCAAGTGTGCATTACCTTGCTGTGATGAGAGCATAATACTCTTCTGCTCCTTAATTACTTGTGCAAATTGTTCGAAAAACACAGGCTTATCCTCAATAATAGCAACACAACAATGAATGTCAGACCATAAATGATTAACTTGTAACTTTCACTCTTCATTAGTAACCCATTGCTCAAAAATGCTATCGCCAATATCAAACATAGGTTTAATGATATTATTTTTGCACCAACGGCTTAGAACAAATTCAGCAGGAATTGTGTGCAGTTTGAGATCCTTAAAAAGCACAAATATGTGTCTACAAAGAAGCTTAATTCTTTAAAAATCTTTGCAAGTGCAGGATGTACTAGATGCACCTATAGAATGCACAACATTGAAAACCATACCACGTTCATCATTAATAATGTATTCAAGAACATCATCGACTTGTTGAACACTTAAAACCCTACATGAAAAACATGCAGAGAAAATCTCCTTCTGAACTTCGTAGAAAATGGAGAGAGTGTAAACAGATGATGCATGTTTTTCAATCAGTAGTGGTGTGTTGTAAACAAGTGTGCATGAATTGGAAACATGGTTTAATTTGGAAGAATTGTGTCTTTGTGAATCCATTGCACTTTCAAACTGCATGAAAAATTCAACAAGACTGAAATGGGAGTTAGTAAATTCTTTAAAGAAATTATTTTCACTTTCAGAGCACGATGTGGTGCGAAGTAAACCACCCATGAATAAATCCCTAAAATACCCAGGGATCCAATAACGGCGAATGGAAAACATATGAGATAACCAGGTGTGGGTGACTAAATCATATTCCACAATGACTTGCATCCATTCCTTTTCAAAATCTTCAGGTAAAAGATAGCGACTCTAAACTACAGAGTTGAGCTTGGACAAAAATTCATCATTACTGCTAAGAACAAGACCAACCTTCCTAGTGAGTTTAGACATTATGCTCCACATGCAGTAACGGTGATGAGAATTGGGAAAAACTTTTTCAATTGCAATCCTCATAGACGGGTCTTGATCAGTAACAATACACTTAGGTGCATGTCCCATTGCATTTAGAAAACAACGGAACAACCAAAGATATGATTCAACGTCTTCTTTAAATAGAAGACCTGCACCAAAGGTCACACATTTTTTGTGATTGTTGACACCGGTGAAAGGTGCAAAAAACATATTGTATCTGCCAAAAAATGTGTCAAGCTACAAATACCAAGGGGACATGTGCATAGAAACATAAATCTTTGTGTATAATAATATAATAGGTATGAATACCATTTTATTGAAACTACATGTCAATCAAATATTTCAGTAAGTTGTGAAGATAATAATGTTTACGTGTGCAAACAGTACCATGTCAAACAATTAAACCGATGTTTGAAATTACTGACAGCGTATAAGAAACATTAGTTTAATGAAATTATTAAACTAAATTGGAACGTCATCAAACGAAAATAAATACACAACATTTAAGTAATTAATTTTGTATAAATTAAACAAAAATAAGTAGAACACCAATGTGCATCTTGTGAAAACAAATTGTGCAGATATGAATTAGTATGAGTGCAGAACCTGTTAGTCCCATATGTAGCATAAAATGAAATCAAATATCCAAAAAGGGAATAATTCTTTCTGCATATGGGGTCAGCCTAGAAAAGCCGTGTCAATTGATCACTTTCATCAACGTCATACTAAAATATATATGCTAAACATGTTTCTTGCTTTCGAAAAAGCTTATCAATTAGCATTTGTGCATCCACACCCGAAATATATGCCTTCAAATCTCGTTTAAAGTTCTTAAAATCAACAGCCGTTGCACCAATATTGCAATATCCTCCAACAGACTCCTTGTATAGCCGGTATGATTTCATTGTTCCAATATTAGCCTTTGCACAAATGATAACAAACTTCTGATGACCTAGATCAAACTTCCTGTTGACTTTAAGAAATGGTCTTGCATCAAGAGATGACATAGGATGATTGTGACGCTCTTCAACTAAGGTTATAACGTATCCATTAAGACCATCAAGTCTTATTCTTATGTGTGCTTTACACCCAACACGGTTTGATACACGACGACGCCTCTTCTTTTTAATATTGGTGTCCGGAATAGCATGGGAAGATTCTGGGTGCTTAGAAAAAATTTGAGCCTCTGTGCCAACATGTGAGGCTTCTGGGTGTTCATGATGTTAGACCCATAGAGTTTGATAAACAGTTTCTGATGATGCCAAAGCATTTCAAATATTCTCGACTTCTTTTGTAGCATTAGGAAATCAATGTGATGTATTCTGCTTGAACCAATTTGCTAGTAAAACATTATCTACAAGTGTCGTGTTCAAATAATCAACTAACAAATAAATATAACTGGAAAACATAAAATGCAATAAGGTAACGGTCTATTACCTTAAAAAGGATCTCTTATAGATCCCACTAGTTAAATTTATTTGTTACATCAGATGACACAAAGACATTTCGAATAAACTAATCTATTTACTTAACTGGAACACGAAATGCAATAAGGTAATAGTTTTTACTTTAATAGGATTTGTTATCCTACCAGTTAAATATTTGGCTTAGTTTATTCATACTAGCTGGGCCAATCACAAGAAATACTTGTATCAAATAAATTATACCGGCAAAGTCAAAATGCAATAAGGTAAACTCTACCTTGAATAGGATATTTAAATCCTACCGGAATAATTTCATTTATGTACAAATATTTCATTTTCCCGGAAAAATCATATACATGATTGAAGACAAGCTTGATCGGCATTTAATGCCAAATACGTACTGGGACCAAGGCATAGGACGCACACATGGGATTATTTTCTGAAGAGATACTTCAGCGGCTGAGATACTCAAGACAGATAAATCATTCCAATAAATGCTCCAGCACAAGAAGACAAATGTACAGTTCGTCCTAGTCTGATTTTCAACGTCAAAGATTAATTCATCCTAACCAACGAATGAGATTAATCCAAAGGAGAAGCCTATAAATATAGCCTGAAACGAAAGTTTCTAACCAAGCCTGAGAATCCCAAGTAGAGAGATATTTCTATTGAGCATTCACGAAATATCTAGCAAAAGAGAAAGTGATATTCTATACATTACTCTCTACTTAGACTCTTGCTTTACTAAACTTCTTAGACTCAAGTCTTAATTGCTAAATCCTAGAAGTTTAGTTCCTAGTTGGAGGTTAGAACTTTCTTGTAACCAAATCAGATATTGTTGTAAACACTTCAGGAGGACAGTTGTTCCCGGCCTGAGTGTGGTTAGATAGGTCAGGAGTACCTTTTGATTCCCACTGGATCAATTGAGAAAAACCTAAAGGACTGAGTAACTTGGAGTGGTGTTGTACTCCTCGTGAAACACCTTCAATCTAGGCCAGAGTTGTCAAGGCTAGATTGGCACTAAGTGTATTGGGCTTAATACTTTAGTGAAATCCATTTGAAATAGGATGGGGGTGGATATAGGAGGATTACACCACCTCTGAACCAGGATATACTGTGTGTTGATTTATCTTCAGTCAACAAAGCACACGCTGAACACTTCTCATAAAAGATTGTAGTTTGCCAGCAGCATCCTAAGCAGTAGTCTTAATTGACCCTACTGCTTATCCTACTGCTTAATCACTCACTTTCTTTGAGATACAAAAGCGTTACAATATCACAACTATAAGGTCTGTTCCATTAGATTTCAGGAAATCTTACTTAAGGCATATCACTTGCCTCAGCAGTCCCCTGATGATTACCCAACTGCTGAGCCCACTACTCACTCAAAAGTATTTCCTTTGAACTTCTCAACTTCATCAGACCTCCAAAACTCTATCTCCAAGAAGTCTGTTCAAACTGATCCCTGTAATTCAATGTGGTAAACCATCAGGTGCTTTAGCAGTTCCCTCACTATCACCCAACTGCCGAGACCACTGCTCCAGTAAAACTCCCACTTACTTGGACTAATGCACATCTTCAGAAAGCCCACATCATCCTGAGCAACACCATATAATCAATCTTTCCATACCTTCACTTTTACTTAAGCAGGTGCCTCAACAGTTCTTTGGTAACCACCCAACTGCTGAGACCACTGCTCTCATTAAGGTTGATTATCAATCTACCCTGTTATATCATCAGAAAGCTCTTCCCACTCTGAGAAAGATTCTGAGTGCACTGTCATCATACACTGAGTATTTTGCTAGCAGTTGCCTCAGCAGTTCCCTGCTTTCGAGCCAACTGCAGAGACAACTGCTCACCTTATATAGCCCAAACTTCATCTATCAAAGGAAGTGTTATACACTATTTATCTAAGAGGTTAAAGACTTCCGTTGTGCATCTATAAATCTCCCAAAAGATTATAGATCAACTCTTTAGAGGGAGAAACGCTTTAAAGTTGAAAAAGCTTTAAAAGTCTATTCACCCCCCCTCTAGACTTTTACCTCTATCCGGGACCATCAAGTGGTATCAGAGCGAAGTGTTCCTAGAGTCAGTTTCTGACTAATTTGAACTAAAGATCCCAAACCACTATTCTTCCCAAACACTTTCTAAGAATGGACGGGCAGCATACAAAGAATCTATTGTTCAATCAGAACAAGTGTGATGACTTGAAAATCAAGGATATCTGGGATGAACTCACAATGATACAATCAGAAGATGGTCAAAACAGTACAAGTGATGAAGGCATCTCATCAGAAAGTAAGAAAGAGGCCCTGATTTGCCTCTTTGGAATGCACCGAGCTAATAGCTCCTCCCACAACTGTCCCATGGTCAGATTGAATGAAAATGACAATGATGAGGTATTATCCTGTTCCTCAAGCAGCTCATATGATTCTAGCTATTCCAGTGTTGATATGGAAGCTCTACTCCATCAACTTGAAAATTTTCAAAAGAATCACCTTCTTTTAATGAACGAGAATTGGAGGCTTCAAGAAAATTTGATTATAGCCCAAGCTCAAATGGGTGAAGTAATTAAAATGAAAAATCTTCTTGAAGTCGAAGACATGAGTTTAAAAGAAAGGCTAAGCTCCCTCACTACCTCTATTGTTGAGGAAGTTCAAAACTGGAAGAACACAGGATCAGGATACACACCTTTATCCCAATTATTGAAAGACTCTCCCAAATGCTCTCCTATCACAAAACCCACCACAGATCTACAAGAAACGAGAAAACCAAACCAACAAAATTCCCACTCCCAAGGTGGTGGAATCCAGGTTTTATGGTTTTATGGTGGAATCCAGGAAGTGATTCAGGAGAACGTTGACATCTTCAAAGGTGGGATGGCCAATCACGGGGGTTGTAACTGTTGTCACAACATCAGTGAAGATAGCTGATGTGTGGCCTACGTTCAATGATGGAATCATTGTAGGCATAGCAGGACTTCCGACCGTCATAACTTACGCTCTGGTCATTGCGTTCAGGGTGGGTGCACCTGTATGTGCTGTGAATAGTGTAAGTGTCCTAGAAAAGGAAGAAAATGTGGGAAATGTGACACCTAGACTCGATGTGTTGAAGATCATTTAATTGTGAATCAAGTTTGTCACCTATCTTGTAATAGATTAGCTTTATTATATCCTTGTATTCAATATTTGTATTTATTAGGATAAAGGATATGGGGCCAATGTGTCAGGCCCATATCAGGCTGAAAGCCTTTCCGTCAACCCTATACCTGCGCATATAAAAAGGCGCTTCAGGTTAAGGGTTGCGTTAACTTTCGTACTCGTTCCAAATAGCCTTAGCGCAATATTCTTCTGTGTACGAGTTCACGGTATATCAAGGAAGGTTATCATCGATCATCTTGTGTTCATCTTTATCGTTAATCTTCTACTTGTTATACTCTTAATCTTTGCTGTAGTAGAAAACAGGGACTAACAACACCCCCTCTTTAAAATGCCTAACAACCCAATCCACAAAAATCTTGACCAGTTACGAATCCTGATCCTACCGGGTTAAAAAAATGTATCCTGGTCTCAAAATGATCTTGATGCTGCTCAACAAGACAACCAATCACTAATAGACATATCGATTGAAGAGGACACTTTTGATGGCTTCACGCCGGTGGGTCTGAGAAA